CTTCATCTTCATTCTTTTTATATCTACGGGATGCTGGGTTTTTTTTCTTAATGAAAGTCTATAAAACATATATATTTTTTTTTCCTTGGGTTATTTTTCGTTTATTTTCTTTTTTCTTTTTTGCTTTCCTCCTAATGTTTACAAAATGATTAATCAAGGAATAAAGTTGGGGACCTTAAGGCTAGTGAAATATTTAAATTTTCTTCACATTCGCTGATTATTTTAAATATGAAAAGAAGAAAGATGGTGAAATAAACTTTACATAATTTATGTGCAGTCATTTATGGTAAATACATTTGCAGCAAAAACAAGCTCAGAGTAAAATCTGACTTTAGTTACAGAGTTTAGATTTTTCCACATATAGGATTGTCTTCCTATGTAGGCACATAGGCTTTTAAAAGTACTAAAGATGCAGAAAGGAGAGTGAGCACACATTCTGTTTCCCCAGACAGTCTTGTTAATGATGGTTGTGTTCTGTCTCCTCAGTGCCCCCTTTTACTCTACAACGTGCTTTGCTTTGGAGGATAAATTTGTGGTCACCCTGGAGATAAGCCATATAAAAACTGTGTGAAAATAGTGTGATCAATAGCTGAAATACTTCAAACTAAAGACAAATTTTTCAAAAGACTCTCAGAAAAGTTTGAGTTTCAGTGTTGAGCACTTTAATGTGTTAGACAAGTTCAAAAAATTCAGCACTGAATACAGACTAATGAAAACAGGCTCATTTAATTGATTAAAATATGCTTGCTTTCAAGGCATTACTTTCACATAGAGAGGCTTTCAAAGTTTTTAAAGTCAATAATTTTAAAAGAACCCCATTAGAAATGAATCATTTAAAAGGTCAAATTTAGGCTGGGCGCAGTGGCTCACGCCTGTAATTTCAGCACTTTGGGAGGTCGAGGCTGGCAGATCATGAGGTCAGGAGTTTGAGACCAGCCTGGCCAACATAGTGAAACCCTGTCTCTACTAAAAATGCAAAAAATTAGCTGGGTGTGGTGGTGGTCACCTGTAATCCCAGCTCCTTGGGAGGCTGAGGCAGGAGAATCGCTTGAAGCCGGGAGGTGGAGGCTGCAGTGAGCTGAGACCGTACCACTGCACTCTAGACCGGGTGGCAGTGCAAGACTCTGGCTCAAAAAATAAATAAATAAATAAATAAATAAATAAAAGGTCAAATTTAAAAGATATTTGAAAAATTTTTAGATTTTCAGACTCCATCTCTAGTAAAATCAACAGTTGTACTAGAGTCTCAGAAAAAGGAATGACATTTTTTAATCTTAAACGAGGATACTCTATATGTGTGTGTGTATGTGTATGTGTGTGTGTGTGCATGTGTGCGTGCATGCTATAGACTGATTTGGAACACTTCTGAAACCTATTAGTTCCCTTCTAAGAAAAATATTTGCTAAATGCATGAAACAAGATACAAAGTATTATAATGGAAATAAATTACATTGAAATGCAACTCTTAAAATATCAAAATATATATATTTTAAAGTTTGGTAAAGTAATATATGAGCGTTTCAGTAACTCATTAAATACTAGTGAGCAGAAGATCTAATAACAATAATAATTACCAAGTAGCAATGAGCAAAAATGATATTTTCAGGTTGTGTACAATAGCTATAATGTGATCTGAAAAGTCACAGTACTGTTCCTGCTACTCACATTTGCTTATTACTTTCACAATTGGAGGACAGGCCGTATTTCAGTTAAGAGGTTAGTGAAAATAAAGTTGTAATTCTTCCCAACCAAGTTCATGAGCTTTTTGTATTCTATCCTTATCATTACAACACTAAGAAAGCCTAGAAGTCAAACAAGTTTGTTATAGGTGCTCACTTAATAAATCAAATAATTACTCTTTCTTGTAATCAGACTACGAAACTACATTTCCAAAAACAAAAAGCCCACTGAATGCTTTTTTTCCCCTATCTAATAAAGGTTTTCACTGTAAATTCATCTCAGTTCATTGTGTGGGTGAAAGTAGTCAGATAAAATGTAGTATAGACACTGAATGTATTGAAAGAAAACAAAGTGGGTGCTTTGTAGGATTTTTCTAAAAACCAAACGGAAAAGTCTTGGAAACACAGACGCGACATTTTATCTTAAGCATTATATCTCTTTATCCTATCACTAATATTTAAAAGCTAAATTATATTTTTGCACAGTTTTTCTTCATTTGCATTTTCTTATTTTAATTTTACAGTGTAATGTATTAATTGACTGTTTACACTTTCTTTTCCAAAACGTTGAATGAAATCCAATAAGCAAGGACACCAAATATGTACATGCACAGCAAGGCCCCTCAGCCACAGCAGCATCACTTCCTGGAACAGACTACAAGTGAAAAATGAGTGGTAATTAAACACAGCTGCTGCCCAAGAGGTAAGGTAGAATCATAGATCATTAGAACCTAAAGGGACCGGAGAAGCCATTTTGTCTAACCCTTCACTTTGCAAATGAGGAATCAGAGACAATGAGTAGTTAGGAGACTTGGTTTGGGCCAAGGGTGACCCTGGAGAAGCATCAGTGATGTCTGATAGTTAAAGTAACACTCTTCTTACCACTTCTCAGGGCGAGTCCTGTTCCTGAGTCTGCTTCTATCCAAGCATAGCTATCGAGATAAGGGGTTACAGTCAACTAGAAATACATCTTATTTATAGATTTTTGCTTCCAAATATGCCAAGTTAGAAGACTTACATGGTTGATCCCATCTCTAGAACAGAGGACTTAAAAGATCAAGAATTTGTTTTGAATACTTTTCAAAGTCTGATTTATTAGCTATATGTTATTCTAACCAGTGAAAATCCAGTAAAACCATCCCTAATTTTATCTTAATTTTTTAAATGGCTTTTCTTTCTGATTATAAAATGAATCATATATGTTAATTATAACAAAGACAAATGAAGAAGAAAATAAGCAGCCACATCCCAAGATGTAATACTGGTAATATTTTAGCATATTTTTCTAGTTATATACGTATGTATGAATACAGAGCTATATACACATATTATACATTAGTATAATATTGCATATAAAATTTTATATTCTGCCTTTTCTCCTAGCATTATACCATGAGAATTTTCCCCACTGAATTAAAATTATTTCCAAAACATCGTTAATATGAAAGTCTGTGTCTGGATGTTATTAAAGCAATAACGTTTAAAGACATTACAATATATAAAGTTATTTCATATAATTTCTGATCACTGAATTTTTAGGTTATCACTGGACCATGTAACTCTACTGCAGTAAATTTCTGTAAATCAAAAATATTAAAAACATGTTTATGAGATAGCCTTTAGATAGATTTAAATGCAAATCCAAAATTACTGGAGGAAAATGTATATAATATTCCAGGAAATCAGAGAAATGAAAACTCAGAGATACCACTTACTGCTATTAAATGCAGAAGTTTCTAAAAGGTATTGTATCAATAGATTTTGACAGGGCTCTGTAAAGTCATGATGGAACACAGTGCTCATACAAGGAAGTAGCAACTGGCGCAAACATTTAGTGCCTGGCACATCGCAGGAGTACAATAAATATATTTGTCGTGTGAACAAATGGAAATTAATTTGTGAATACGTATCAAGACATCTCAGTATAGTTATGCTCCTTAACTGATAATATTATTCAAGGGAATATATACAATATATACACTTAGGTAGTCACTGCAATATTCTTAAAAGACAAAGATTGGTCACAACCAAATGCCTAAGATTCATATAATGGTTAAGTAAATGATGTAGGTCTATAGAGCCAAGAATCCTTAATTTTCACATTAATTTAAGAACTACACTAAAATCATACATGTGTTGCCTGTAATTCTTAGCTTAAAATGATTGAAATATTTTAAATACTAGCATATTTAATCTCTTGGTGTAATATTTTATTTAATTCTTTTAATGAAATACAGGTTTAGCATCCCTAATCTAAACATCTGAAATTAGAAATACTCCAAAGTCTGAAACTTTCTGAGTCCTGATGTTACGCTACGAGTGGAAATTCCACCCACAAGTACTTAACACACATTTTGTTTCATGAGCAAAATTATTTAAAATATTGTATAAATTTATCTTTAGGCTGTGCATGTAAGGTGTATATGAAACATAAATGAATTTCATGTGTAGATTTGACTCCCCTCCCCAAGATGTAACATTTTGTATATACAAATATTTCCAAACTGCTGGAAATTCAAACCCTGAAACACTTCTGGTCCCATACACTTTGGAAAAGGGATACTCAACCTGCAACTATTAATTTTAAAATTGAAGAAAACCGCCGTGTTTGAAAAAAACCCTGAGAAGGCTAGGCGCAGTGGCTCATGCCTGTAATCCCAGCACTTTGGGAGGCTGAGGTAAGCAGATCATGAGGTCAGGAGTTCGAGACCATCCTGGCTAACACTGTGAAGCCCTGTCTGCCAAAAATACAAATAATTAGCTGGGTGTGGTGGTGGGCACCTGTAGTCCCAACTACTTGGGAAACTGAGGCAGGAGAATGGTGTGAACCCAGGAGGCGGAGCTTGCAGTGAGAATAGATTGCATCACTGCACTCCAGCCTGGGCAACAGAGCGAGACTCCATCTCAAAATCAAACAAACGAACGAACAAACAAACAAACAAACAGTAAAACCCTGAGAAGCCCAGATGAATAGATGAAAGAACTATTAATATTGTCTTCCTTCCAAAATAGATTCTTATAGTCAATTTCAGAAGTGCCACTCATTTGTTTCTCCTCATATACTATAGAATTTAGGGCCAGAGTTTCCTTTGATAGTGACACCAACAGTGAGAGAAAGTCATGACTTTCTGTTTTCCCAGCTCCATCACTTAGATAACCCTGTTGTTTCCTCTTGCTAATTGTAGCTAGACTCACTATTGAAAACTGTGTTGAATCTCTTTCCCCTTCTTCATCACCCTGCCGCCTTATACACACAGACACACACACACACACACAGAGTTGGAGAGGTAACCCTTTAACAAACAACAGGAATCACAATACCTTTATAAGTTCTGAGGGTTCACTTCCTTCTTCCACGACAATTAGTTCAGACCTTCCTTTCCTTTCATTGTAACGAATGCCAGTAGCTACCTGGTTTGCCTTCAGACGTTCATATTTGTTGCATGAGGAACCACACCACTGATAAATTTTCTAAAAGAAAGAGAGAGATCTGTTGACCCTAAGAATATGAGGGAGACATTTAGCCTCAGTGTAATACTTTGATTAATTAGGAAAGAAAAAGGAAAATTAAATGACCTGTTGTTAAGGTGTACACATAATTGTTATACTTCACTCTGCATTCTGCTGCTTTCAGTTAGCATTACAAAGTAAGCAGTTTTTAAGCATGGAAAATATAATATATATATCACCTTTCTCTGTGTATATAATCTATAAATTACAATTTATAAATGTAAACATATGGATAAAATTTGAAATAATAAATATATCACACTTCAGAAAAGAAGTCAAGAATCTGTTAAGATACTCTTGATGATCATAAAATTAATAAACACTTTTGTAAAACTCTTCATGTTTTTAAATTGACAAATACATATTGTATATATTTATTGTGTATAACATGATGTTTTGATATATGTATACATTGTGGAATGGCTAAATCAAGATAATTAATATATGTAAAGCAATTTAACAATTCTTATCAAGAGCAATAAAAAGATTGATACTGTCCCAGTAATATCACTATCTGGCACTTACTTTAATAAATAATTCATAAAAGGAGAAAAAAACACACATATAAGGGTGCTCATTGCTATGTGACTATATTGGTGAGGCCGTGGAAAGGCATTAATTGTTCAAGAATAGGATAATAGTCATATAAATTGTGATACATAGGGAAAATTTGATACTTAACTGTTAAAATTAAACTTTAACATCAAAACATGAAAAAGTAGAAACAGAATAACCGGGTGATATATTGTAGCAATTATATTAGCTACCATTTAGATTAAACTACTATATATTTTAGATTGTAGATTTTAGTATAGTGTCCAGAAGGTATACAGATACAAATGGAAAATAATAATAAAAAATTATCTCCTCCATTAACATTGTTTACCAAAAGAAAGAAAGAGAAGTTGAATAACAACCAGAACTGGAGGGGCTGTGGGAATGGGCATTATCATCCACTATTTGGGTGGTATAAACTGACACAGGTTTTTTAAGGGTAGTTTGGCATCATTATAAAAAAAATTAAGGCCGGGTGCAGTGGCTCATGCCTGTAATCCCAGCACTTTGGGAGGCCAAGGTGGGCAGATCACGAGGTCAGGAGATCGAGACCATCCTGGCTAACATGGTGAAACCTTGTCTCTACTAAAAATACAAAAAATTAGCCAGGTGTGGTGGCAGGTTCCTGTAGTCCCAGGTACTCGGGAGGCTGAGGCAGAAGAATGGCTTGAACCATTCATGAGATCACGCCACTGCACTCTAACCTGGGGAACAGAGCGAGACTCTGTCTCAGATAAATAAGTAAATAAATAAATGTGCTTTTAATGTCAAGAAATTCAATTTATAGGAATCTATAATACAGAAATATTCAAACATGAGATATAAAAACAAAAGAAACTGTTGCAGGAAGTCAGGGACCCCGAACAGAGGGACCGACTGGAGCCACAGCAGAGAAACATAAATGTGAAGATTTCATGGACATTTATCACTTCCCAAATAATACTCTTATAATTTCTTATGCCTGTCTTACTTTAATCTCTTAATCCTGTTATCTTCGTAAGCTGAAGATGTACGTCACCTCTGGACCACTATAATTGTGTTAACTGTACAAATTGATTGTAAAACATGTGTGTTTGAACAATATGAAATCAGTGCAGCTTGAAAAAGAACAGAATAACAGCAATTTTTAGGGAACAATGGAAGACAACCATAAGGTCTGACTGCCTGCAGGGTCAGGCAAAAAGAGCAATATTTTCCTTCTTGCAGAGAGCCTATAAATGGACCTGCAAGTAGGAGAGATATCGTTAAATTCTTTTCCTAGCAAGGAATATAAATATTAAGACCCTAGGAAAGGGTTCCTCCTGGGGGGAGGTCTATAAATGGCCACTCTGGGAGTGTCTATCTTATGTGGTTGAGATAAGGACTGAAGTATGCCCTGGTCTCCTGAACTATCCTCAGGCTTACTAGGATTGGGAAATTCCAGCCTGGCAAATTTTTGGTCAGACTGGTTCTCTGCTCTCGAACACTGTTTTCTGTTGTTTAAGATGTTTATCAAGACAAAACATGCACAGCTGAACACAGATCCTTATCAGTAGTTCTGTTTTGCCTTTTGTCCTGTTTCCTCAGAAGCATGTGATCTTTGTTTCCTTTCTGTCCTTTGAAGCATGTGAGCTTTGTGACCTACTGTCTGTTCTTGCACACCCTCCCCTTTTGAAATCCTTAATAAAACTTGCTGGCTTTAAGGCTCAGGTGGGCATCATGGTCCTACTGATATATGATGTCACCCTCGGAGGCCCAGCTGTAAAATTCCTCTCTTTGTACTCTTTCTCTTTATTTCTCAGCAGGCCGACACTTATGAAAAATAGAAATAACCTACTTTGAAATATAGGTGGCAGGTTCCCATGATATCTGGCGCCCAACGTGGGGCTCAAACCCAGCACCCTGAGATTAAGAGTCTCATGCTCTACCGACTTCCCCCGATAAGAAACAAAACAAATGGCCATCAATAAGAGGATAGCTAAATAAATGTCATTGCATGAATGCTGTCTACTCCTCTTCAGTAGTTAAAAATTAAGGAAAATTGTTTAAATACTGATGTAGAAAATTAGTGAAGGTATATCATCAAGAATACAATAAAGACATAGAATAATATAATTACGTTAAAGTAGAAACAAAAACACAAGCTCTGTCTCTGTGTTTGCACAAAAAAAAAGATAAACAGCTTTAAGAGATTCAGAGGGCATGCATATGCAGAAAGAAAGCCTTCAATGTTTACTGTATCTAAGTCAGTGATTTTTTTGTTTGTTTTTATGTCACATACATTTCTAGGTGCTTATTATGCTGGGGACACACAGATAAATAAGAAAAAACTAGCAAGGAGAGGTGGACAGGTAGAAAAATTGGCTAATACATTTGCACTGTGCTTAGTTTTCACAACATTCCCACACACATTTCATCTAGTCAGCCATGTAGAGTTGTGGTTAAGTGTGAGGGAAATGGAGCTAGGCTGCCACTCTCTGGGTATTTGATAGTGTGCCTGCAATTTTTCAAAAGAGTAAATAAATTAGAAATAGCACAAGAAAACATTCAGAGAAATGGACTCTTTTCTCTGATTACATTTCCAGCCCAGAGTCATTTCTTCACTCAAAAAATGGTTTACTGAGTGACTAAAATGTGGCAGCCTCTCTTGTAGATACTGGAAGCACCATTCTGAACAAAGTAGGCTTGCAACAGTCTCTATGACCGCTGCTTAACATTCCTGATTACCTAGTCCACAGTCTTCCTTAAGAATAAAACACACATTTTAGGAATGCAAAACTTTATAAGAAATAAAATCAAAAGGACTATGTCTAGCAATCTTTTTCTCTCAAGAATTGAATGCAGTTATTTTGTATGGTCAAAGGGCATGGTCAAAGGTCAAAGTATAGTAAAACCATATCTAGGAAATACTCACAAAAATAGTAAAACTTTAAATTATTTCTAAAAGAATAGTGCACTTCTACTGTTTCTTTTTAAACCCTTTTCTACATTTGGGCATTGGAATATGAGGCTCACATGTGGAGGTCATTTGAATACCATGACAAAGTTAGCAGTTAGAAAGAGTGAAAATAAAGGACTCCCACTGATCAGTCAGCTCCTAGCCACTGACCATTAAAATCAGATAATGGAGTAGCAAGGTAATTTTTAAAAATATAAAGATGTGAGTTCTATCTTTAGGAAATCTCAGGTGTGTTCTGGGCAGCTGTGTTTATTAAAAGCTCCCCAGGTGATTCTAGTATTCAACCAGTGCACACCAGGTATGATGTACTCTGAGCACACCACACTTGTTGTGCACGATAGGGAATCTGTAACATCTAATTATCCAATGCAACTCAGCAGACTTTTCTGCTGAGCACAAACTAGTGTTTTTGTTTTGAAAACATTTTACTTATACTTGACTCATGACAGAGAAACATTGACCCTATAAATCAGAATATTTTTTCCTATATGTATCTTTGTTTTTGTTTTAAATTTTTAATTTCAATAGATTTTTTGTGAACAGGTGGTATTTATTTAGATGAATAAGTTCTTTAGTGGTGATTTCTGAGATTTTGGTGCTCCCATCACCCGAGCAGTGTACAGTGTACCCAATGTGCAGTCTTTTATCCCTTACCATCCCTCATCCTTTCCCCTGAGTCCCCAGTGTCCAATGTATTATTCTTATGCCTTTGCATCCTTATATCTTAGCTCCCACGTATCAGTGAGAACATATGTTTGGTTTTCCATTCCTGAGTTACTTCACTTAGAATAATAGTCTCCAATTCTATCCAGGGTGCTGTGAATGCCATTATTTCATTCCTCTTTATGGATGAGTAGACCTAAATCTAAGACCTGAAACCATAAAGATTCTAGAAAATAACATTGGAAAAACCTTTCTAGACATTGGCTTAGGCAAAGGCTTCATGAACCCAAAGCAAATGCAACAAAAACAAAGGTAAATAGATGGTACTTAATTACACTAAAAAGCTTCTTCACAGCAAAAGAAAGAATCGAGAGTCAACATACTACCCACAGAATGGGAGAAAATATTAGCAAACTATGCATTTGACAAAGGACTAATATCAAGAACTACAAAGAACTCAAACACATCAGCAAGAAACAATCCCATCAAAAAGTGGGCTAAGGACATGAATAGACAGTTCTTAAAAGAAGATACACAAATGGCAACAAACATGAAAAAATGCTCAACTTCACTAATTATCAGAGAAATGCAAATCAAAACCACAATACAATACCACCTCACTCCTGCAAGAATGGTCATAATGAAAAAATAAAAAATAATAGATGTTGGTGTGGGTGTGGTGAAAAAGGGAACGCTTTTATACTGTTGGTGGGAATGTAAAGTAGTAATGACCACTATGGAAAACAGCGTGGAGATTCCTTAACAAACTAAAAGTAGATCTAGTGTTTGACCCAGCAATTCCACT